CAAGTCCCGGATTCGAGTAATGACTGACCTGGGGGAGGAAGAAGACCTGGCACAGAGTTGGGGACGAACAGGAAGAGGCTCAGGAATGGTGAGCTGCTTCTACACTGTTACTGAAAGGGTATCATACATATCACTTTATCTCCTTTCAGCACTCAGTTTTGGTTCAGAGTGATCATTTCCAACTATCATTATCAAAGTGGTCCCTTCTCTCTCCTAACTTCACTCCCCTCCCTTTTTGTGGCATGCTTCTTCCCATAAACCATTCTTGCTGGCCCTTTTTTCTATGTCTTTGAGTACTAGTCACACACAGTGTTGTTGTTTTTGGTTTCTATATCCCCAAGTGAGTGCCATCATTGTGTTTCTCTGTTTCCATTGACTCATTATGTCAGCATGATACTCTCCATTCTATCCATGTAGAAGCAAATTTCATAACCTCATTCTCCCTAACAGCCATGTAGTGTTCCACTATATAGGTACACAATAGTTTCTTTTTATTTTTTTATTTTTAAATTTTATTTTATTTTCATAAAGTTGTTCGCAATAATTGATTAAATTCAATATTCTCACGCCAATCCCACCAATATTACACCTTCCCACCACAATATTTCAAATTAATCCAAACCGATCCCCAAACCAGAACATAATAATATACTTTGTATTACCTACTAAGAATAATTCTCTAAAGATGATCCAAAATTTTCCTTAGATGAAAGTATGAGATTATTTTATCATCCCTGAGTCATTTAACCCTTCTAGAGAATATAACATGTGCAGAATTTCTAAGATTTTCTGTAGTTTGATACAGCAAGAATTAAATTTTTAACTGAATGTTGACTTTGAGGTCCAAAGGCATCTCTGCAGGGTGTTGCTCTCTTCCTCTTCTGAAGTTTATTTGTAAGTCTCTGGATCATGGTCGTGACTGAGACTAAATGGAGCCAGAACAGTTTGTAGGTGTGACTGCAATATACTGAAGTCCAGGGCGACGGGGGTTGGTCACACATTCTGGAATGCTGGCAAGCTTGGAGATTTCAGTCACAAGTACCTCAACCTGGGATTTCCAGCAGATTCACTCAAGGATGAGGCTCATGGAGCCAGTGGAGATGGTGGCATTGACTTCTGGAGATTTTTGACTGCTGGAGTTTCTTGGAGGGTGTGTGGTGGGACTCAGTAGCTCCGTTTCAAATTGCCCCGTATGAGTCAGCTTGGCACAAGGGCCACTGGAATCTTCGCTGTACAATAGTTTCCTTATGCACTCGTCTGATTTTGAGCATGGTGTTGTATCCAGATTCTGGCTATTCTGGATGCAGAATGATTTTCTGCACTCACTATCATACCTCAGCTTCCCCTTCTGTAAGGTGAAAATGAGACTTCTTGTTGGGCTATTGTGCAATAAAGAAAGTATTTACTGAACCTTATTGCACATGTCTTGGGTGGATTGGGAAGGAAGAGAGTAGCTTGGAGAAAAAAGATTTTCTGTCCCTCTGCTCAACTCTTCTTAGCCACCCCGGGAAAAACCTACATAATCAGAACAGATAAAATCTGCCCCTAACATCTATATGCCATGGATGCTCATGTCCCACTGGCACTATTATACGACCATCAAGTTATGCTTAAAGTCCACTCATTCTGAACAGCATGACAATTGGTCCCCACAATCTGAATGCTCAGTGAGTCATAGCCTCAGTGTGGAGTGAGAAATTGATCTTTGCAAAAAAGCATAGTGAGGCAAGTCTCAGCATAATACTCCAGGAGCATCATAATTTCCCAAAGAAAAGAATTTCAAGAAGAGGTGAAAGCATCAAGCAAAATAGTTTTATTTAAAGATATTTACTTGGAGGGACCGGATAGATAGTATAGAGACTACAGTGCTTGCCTTGCATGCAACTAACCTGAATTCAATCTTTGCAACCACATAAAGTTACCCGGGCACTGCCAGGACTGATCCCTGTGTGCAGAGCCAGGAGCAAGTCTTGAACACTGCTAGGTGTGACTCCTAAACAACACACCCACACAAACACACACACAAGGACACACACAAGGACACACACACAAATGAGGAGGGAAAATATATTAAAAGCAAGGAAGAATAAGGTCTTCTCCAGACAAAGGCAAACGCCCAAGGAAAGGGACACTCTTAGTCGGATGCAGTGACTCCAGAATGTCGTGTCCTGACTCCTCCAGGAAGCAGGGTTTATGTCTCTCTAAGCTGCTCAGCTTGGGGCTCTCTGTGTAGAAAGGAGTCATTGGCAAGGTTTGTCAAGGTAAAGGATTTTGCGCACTGGTGACGTTTTTTGTTGAGAGTCTCTCATGTCCTTTACTTGTATTAAATTATGTTCTGAGTGTGCTCAGTCCTCGGGTTTGGGCTGAATATTGAGTTCTGGTCACTTAATCTTCTCCTTGTCTTGCATTTCCCTCCTCTCTGTAGTCTTTTCCCTGTCCCATATCCCAGGAAGGCTCATAACTGCTTCTAGTATAGCTCGCAAATAATATATTCTGAAAACATCCTTGCTATGCTAATGCTAATATGCCTCAGTTTATCTTTTAACTCACTGGACTCGCATTTCTCTCTAGTAATGCTGAAGTCTGCTCATGTTTGCTTAACGCCCCCTCCCAAGGGACACCATGACAGCTTCATCCTACAATTCCAAATTCACCCTTTGTAATGCCTGTATAGAGCCTGTTCCATGATTTGGGATGGGGAGTCAGGGGACCTCAGATCTCTCTGGGTCAGATCTGTTTGGTGCTCTGACTACAAGCTCATGGGTTTGGATGGGAGTATGATTCAGTTGGGACAGGGATTTGTGTATCACTTTCCATCTGCCCATGTCACTGTGGGCTTCGTATTCCACCCATTACAGTGAGTCAGCCTCTTGCTCAGCCAGGGCATCTCTGGTCGTCAGGGTGGCCACATTCCTCATTGAGAACCAGAGAAGCGGTCAGGGATCCTTGAGGACTGGTTGTTATCACCAGAGATGACCAGCACAGGGACCTGGCCAAGCTTTTGCTGATACCAATGAGTAGTGTTTCTCATCTCTGGGTTGTCTCAGGAGCAGGTGAGCTTGACTGTCAGTACCAGGTCCACTGATGTGGAAAATGACTGGGTCAGCTTAAAGGAGGCCATAGAGCCTTGAAAGAAAGGAGATGATACAGAGTTGAACAAGAAAGGACTGGCCCCAGGAGGTTCCACAGTGAGTCTGTGTCAGTGTGCAGCTCAGAGTTTGCGGCAGGCCTGTTGGGCTGATCCTTTGAGGGGCCACCTATGCAAACAGCAAGGAGAGGGAGCAGGTAAAGGGCCTCTGGGCCTTGATGTATCCTATCCAGAGCGCTGCTTGCTCCCACTCCACTGTTGGGATCTACAGCATCTTCTATCCTCTCTGGTCCTTTTTATTAAAAATGGTTTGCTCTTCGTGCAAATTTACTGCTCCTCTGGTTAGAAGAAGATCTTAGCACACACAGGATGAAAAGCAGGTGCCTTAAGGGAGAATGGATTGCAATCACTTAAACTGAGCTGCTTCTCATTCAGAATATCAACCTTCTCTTTGATGTCTGCAATCATAATCAGCTTCCAGGGCTTTCCCCCTTCATGTTGGCCTGTGTTCTGTCCAGGGCATCTTAACCTGTGCAGTGTACTAGGTGTTTGGTGAGGCAGCTGGCTGGAGTCTGTGATATACAGAGACACGTGGTACAGGAAATGCGACCATGAAACCAGTCACCCTCTCATTTGTCACTTCTTTTCTAGCTATCCAGAGACTTTTTGATTGAGATCAGAGCTGGTCTGAAAGAGGGAAGGAGAGGTTAAAGAGCAGTGGTCAAGGCATCCCTGAACATGCCCGAGAGGCTGAAACCAGCATTTCTTTTCAAACAAGTGTGAGGCCCTTGTCTTTCACAGGTAAGTCACGCTCTGTGCTTGGCTTCTATCAGTGTCCCAGGCTAGCCTGACCTTCAGTGTGAGGCCTGCTCAGCCTCAGAAAGTACGGTGAACCAAAATGAAATCCCTGTTGTCCCCGGGTTCTGTCCCTCTGAATCTCCTCTGGGAAACACTAACTTTTGTTCATAGTAAGGGCCTCACTGATATGCAAAAAAGATTTTCCCCTTTTTGTCCCTCAAATAGAAGAGGGACAAAAAGACAGTGGGGATGTTTGGTTCAGGAGGTTAAATGTATAAGAACAATCATTCAATTTGAGTATCAAGTATTGGTGACATTTGTTTCCTATCCATATACATAAGAGAGTCACATGGAAGTTTCACAAACTTCTGATAAAAATTCTCAGCAACATACGAAAATTCAGGTACCATAAATCTCAGTTCTAATAACTGAGCCCATGATGGTATCTCGTGCTTCTCCTTCCAAGGAGTCCTCTAACACTGAAAGACCTGCAGTCTCATCAAAGGACAAGAGGAAAGGGATAACATGAAGGCCACCATAAGTCAGAGGCCACTCAGAGTCAGAGATTGTCCTTCTGGTGTCTGAATTCCCCTCACACATGTGGGATGAGGAAGTGAAGACACTACCTCGGCAGGGGCTGAAGCTGCCCTACACACACCTGGAAGGACTCCAGACCAGCAGGTGTTCACAAAAGTTGAGGAACATTAAACATTGAGGAATTCAAAACATCCAGGGTTTAAAAGTTTTATTTTTTATTTCATTTTATTTTGGGGGCCCCACTTTATTATGCTCAGGACTTACTCCTATTCTACACTCAGGGATCACTCATGGTGTGGCTCAGGGGACCATATGGTAGTTGGGGATCAAACTAGGCTTGCTGCATTCAAGGCAAGAATCTTACTTGCTGTTATGGCTCTAGTCCTCAAGAGTTTTGTGTTCATAAAGGATAAATGAAGATCCAGGAGCATAGAGAACCACCTCTTGCTCGAGATCATGATCAGAGCAGGGAAGTTGCCTATCTCCCCAAGCCTCAGTTACTGAGCACAGTGAGGTTGAGCACCAGGCCAGAACAGGAGGTTCTTACCCCACTTCCCCAGAGCCTGTGCCACTGTGCTCACTGCCAGCTGCTCCCAATGCTAACAGCTGCTAAACAGTAATAGTCGGCCTCATCCTCAGTCTGGACTCCTGTGATGGTCAGGGTGGCCATGTTGCCAGGCTTGTGGCCAGAGAACCGGTCAGGAATCCCTGAGGGCCGCTTGTTATCACTGTAGATGACCAGCACTGGGGCCTGGCCTGGCTTCTGCTGGTACCAGGAAACAATTTTGCCTCCAATATTGTCTCCTGCACAGGTCATCTTGGCCTCCCCTCTTGGGCTCACAGAGACTGAGGGCGGCTGATTCACTTCATAGGAAGATACAGAACCTGAAAGAGAGAAGGAGAGGTCAGGAAAAGAGGAATCTCAGTCTTCCAGATCCCAATCTTCATAACCTGTAGTAATTCTGTGGGACCTACCCCCTACCCCCTATCTCCATCAGGGTGATGGGAATCCTACCTCAGTGCCCTACTGAGCTCAAACTCAGGACCAAGATGGTCCCAGAGCACTGGGCTTGGGGCTGCTGTGAGTCTGGACCCCTCATCTGTGCAGTGAGCCAGGAGGCCCAGGAGGAGCGGGGCCCAGGCCATGATGAGCGGCTGGGATCCTGGCAACTGAGGCTGAACTCCTCCTGGTCCCCTCTTATCCCCTCAGGCAGAGAGCTGCTGGCTATGCAAATCAGCCAGGCTAAGTGGTACTGCTGGGTGTCATGGCTGCAGAAAAGGGCCCAGACCCAAGGGACACAGGAAGGGGGAGGGCTGGCCCAGCAGTCCCCACCTGCTGCTTAGTGATATCTCCCTGACTATTTTGTCTTTGTTATGGTAATTTTGTCTGTTTAGGAGCTATTTTAGGGCTTTGACACATTGTGTTTTTAGAATAAATTATAAATGACATGAAATATTGGCTTAAATTACAAGATTTTACATTAAAATATATTTTTATAGTTGGTTTCCTTCACTTTTGGGGACATTCATACAGTAATAAAAATAACTTTATTCCTTAATTCAAGTAAAGGATAGAGAATCCTTCTTGTTAATAGATACCAAAGGACATTAAAATGTTAAACTGACTAGATAGTATTCTCTGGACCAAAAATATTTCAGATCCTGTGGCTTGAGAGATAATACAGCGAGGAGTGTGATTCCATGTGCAGGACCTGCCCAGTTTGATCCCTGTCACCACATATTGTCCAAGCGTGCAGAGTCAGAATTCCTGAGTATGACCAGGTATGTTGCGCGCGTGTGTGCGCACACACACACACACACACACACACACACACACACACACATTTCATATCCTAGGTGCCCTGCTTGAAAACAATACTGCTTAGATTCCCAGCACTATGTGCTCCTGTACCCAGCATAACTGAGGAGAGCTCTGGATTCCCCACAGCACCCTTCCAGTGGCTGAGTAATCTCTGACACCACAAGGTTTGATCAGCATCACAGTTCCTCAGAACCTCTTTAGAATGCATCACAGTTTCCCCAGTTCCCTACAATACCCCAACCCTATTCATACCACAGGCCCTGCCATTTGCCACGCAACAAAGTTCAGATTCAAAAGGAGTCAAAGAAAAGAAGCAAGGAAGAAAGGAAGGGAGGAAGGAAGGAAGGAAGGAAGGAAGGAGGGACAGAGGGAGGGAGAGAGAGAGGGAAGGAAGGAAGGAGGGAGGGAAGGAAAGAAGGAAGGAAGAAAGAAAAAGAAAGAAGAAAGAAAGAAAGGAAGGAAGGAAGAAAGAAAGAAAGAAAGAAAGAAAGAAAGAAAGAAAGAAAGATGCTCATCACTGTTAGGTGGTAGGAAAATAAATACCTTTTCCTTAGGTAAAGTAAAGTCCCTCCCGTTAATCATCGATTTGCTCGAGTGGGCCCAGTAATGTCTCTATTGGAGACTTTGTTGTTACTTTGTTTGGCATATCGAATACGTCACGGGGAGTTTGCCAGGCTCTGCCATGCGGGCGAGATACTCTTGGAAGCTTGCCGGGATCTCCGAGAGGGGCGGAGGAATCAACTCGGGTCGGCCATGTTGGCTGCGTGCAAGGCAAACACCCTACCTCTGTGCTATCACTCCAGCCCTTCCTTAGGTATGAGGTTGATTACTAAACACCAGCACCCTGGACATTTACATTTACTTAGTTAGACACGCCTTCGCCCTGACCCACCCTAGCTCCTTTGGACCCCATGATTCTCTGCTGCCCTCTCTTGGTTAATCTGTGAAGTGGGAGGGAGTGGGAAGTCCTAGCAGAAAGAAAGTCAGGAAAGATTCAGATCACAGGGCTCAGGGGCTGAGTCAGTATCTACTGGGAGCATCCAGGGAGGAGGAGTGAGCGTCTTCTCTGTGGATCCTGGGTTTCATAGGATCAGTTTGCAGGGAAATTGAAAATATGATTAAGGATGCTTATTGAATTGAATTGGAGGTTGATTCGTCGACCCACTGCTCAGGCCCCAGAATTAGGGTTATGTCTATCATGGACAGGCCATTGAGTGTGGATGGTTTTCACTTTGAAACTTAAGCTTTCTAATTTTCATATGATAGGCATGAATGGTCGGTAGATAGCACAGTGGTAAGGCATTTGCCTTGCACGCAGACGGCCTGGCCAAGCTGGGTTCAATTCCTCCACCCCTCTCGGAGAACCCTGCAAGTTACTGAGAGTATCTCGCTCACACAGCAAAGCCTGGCAAGCTACCCGTGATGTATTTATATGCCAAACACAGTAACCACAAGTCTCACAATGGAGATGTTACTGGTGCCCGCTCCAGTAAATCGATGAACAACTGGAGGACAGTGCTACAGGAATGAAGGTATTCTCACATAATAGATGAACAATGGTTCAAATGCAACTGTAGCACTGCTGAGGATGAAACGAATTTCTTTATAAAATGCAGTGAGATATATAGTTACAAAATTATTCATGATTGAGGTTCAGTCATAAATGTTCCAACACCCATCCTTTCATCAGTGCATGTTTCCAACACCAATGTCCCCAGTTTTCCTCCTGCACGCCTGCTACCCTTTTCCTCCAAAGCTGTTCTATGCCAGACACTTTCTCTCTGTTTGTCTGTCTGTCTCATTAGGTTTAGGCACTGTGGTTTACAATACACTTACTAATAAAGGTATTGTCCATATCTTTCTCTTCTTTCAGGACTTAGTTTTTGTTCAGAATGATCATTTCCAACTATCATTGTCAAAGTGGTCTCTTCCCTGTCCTAACTTCACTCCCCTCCCTTTTTGTGGCATGCTTTTTTTCCATGAGCTATTTCCCCTGGCTCTTATTTCTATGTCTCTGTGTATTATTCACACACTGTATTGTTGCTTTTGACTTTTTATATCCCCAACTATACAAACATGGCCATCGTTGTATGTCTGTCTGTATCCCATTGTCTGATTAACTCAGCATGATCCTCTCCATGTCTATCCATGTCTCAGCAAATTTTATGACTTTTTTTTTCTAACAGCCATGTAGTGCTCCATTATGTGGATGCATCAGAGTTTCTTTCTAATCTTTTTTACTTTAAAATTTTATTTAATTTTTATGATGTTGTTCACAATCCTTCAGCAGCAGTGCTGGCTGTTGCAGCAGAAGCCAGGAAAAGCATTTGCAACGCCCGCCTGTCCTTCACCAACTACCACACCAGGATAACTGCCCTACGACGTCCTGATGGATCTATCACATCTTCCAGAAAGGCAATGGAGAAGATTATACATGACAGCTACTCGGATCTCTTCTATAGCCACGTACATCTGCCCACATACCAAATTCCACAAGATGAATATGTTGTTCCCAACGTTCTCTCTTCTGAAATCCGACATGTCATTTCATTGGTAAAGAAGCGAACAGCACCTGGCCCAGACAATGTCAGACCCGAATCAATGTCAGACCTGAAGAACCTGCCATCAGTACTCAACAATATACTGGCTTGGCTCTTCACATGCTACCTGTCTGAATGCAAGGTTCCGTCCCAATGGAAAACCTGCAGGACAGTGCTACAGTACAAGAAGGAAGACATCCACGACATTGGCAACTATCGCCCGATCTCCATGTTGTCCATCGTCTACAAGCTGTTAACTGGAGTTATCCTGAATAGGAATAGCAGAAGAGTGGATGAAGGACAACCATACAAACAATCCGGGTTCTGAAAAGGATTCAGCACGATTGACCATGTCCACACAGTAACCAAGCTCATTGAGGTTTCTCAGGAGTTCAAGATGCCGCTCTGTCATTGACTTAAAGAAGGCCTTTGATTCTGTTGAAACTGAAGCGGTCATCGAAGCACTAAGCAAACAGGGCATTCAAACTCAATACATCAGGATCCTGCATGAGCTGTATTATGTATTCACTACCAGGATCTCACCAGTTTATAAGGAAGTGATCATCCATGTCAAGGGAGGGGGTCACTCAAGGATAAGGCTCATGGAGCCTGTGGAGATGTTGGCTTTTTGTTCTGGAGGGTTTTGACTGCTTGGGCTAGTTCTCTAAGTGTGGGTGGTGGAACTCACCAACCCTGCTCTGGATTGCCCCAAATGAAATAACCTGGCATGTTCGGGGGGGGCAGTGGCATATTTGCTGTACAATAGTTTCCTTATCCACTCAACTGATCTTGGGCACAGGGTTACTTCCAGATTCTGGCTATTCTGGACAGTGCTAGAGTGCAGATTGCTTTTCTGTACTCATCCCACATGCCTCATTTTCTCCTTCTGCAAAGTGTGAAAATGAGAATGCTTGCTCAGCTTTTGTGTAGTGATTAAAGTATTTACGGGACATTATTGCAGGTGCCTTAGGTGGAGTGGGGAGGAAGGGTGTAGCCTGGAGAAAAAAGCTTTTCTGGCTCTCTGCTTGACCCCCTGCAACCATCTAAGGAGAAACCTACAAAGTCAGAACAGATAAAAGCTGCTCATCGCATCTGTATGGCATGGACGCTCATGTCCCACCTTTCCATCTATATGACTATCAAGCTATGCCTGAAGTCCACTCATTCTGCACAGCATGGGAATTGGTCCCCACAATCTGAAACCCAGTGACTATAACCTCAGACTAGGAATTGATCTTTGCAGGAAAATGATAGTCAGGCAAGTTTTATCACAGTGCTCCAGGAGCTTCATTGTTTTCCAAAGAAAAGAATTTCAGCAAGAAAAAAAAGAGTGAAGAAAACTAGTTTTATTTAAAGATATTTACTTGGATGGGCCCGAAAGAGGTTATGGTACCTGCCTTGCATGCAACTGACCTGAATTCAATCCTTAGCACTATATATATGGTCCCCAGGTCACTACCAGCAGTGATCCCTGTGTGCAGAGCCAGGGACAAGGTCTGAGCCCTGCTGGGCGTGACTCCCAA